TGCTGTTTGCTCGGCTAGTAGATTAAACATGCCCTTGAGTGTTGATTTTCCTCCAGTGGGTGCGGCGTTTGGCGAAGTAGAATTCAAACAGAAAAAAAAAAAAAACCAAAAAACCAGAAAACAAAAAAGAGCGCCGAGATGCGCATGCGCGGATGAGGGTCTGACCCGCACAAGGAGCCGCTGTCATTCCTGATGGTCCCCAAGGCAGAGGCCTCACCCCCACGGGGAGTAAGGACGGGCTGTAAGGACGGGGCGTGAGGGGCCCTGGGGCTTCCAACCCCCTTTTGTTTGCGAGCCCCACGCAGTTCCCAGTTCCAGTAACGAGGGGGCATCTTAATTACGCCCCTTGTAATTTACCTTGGAGCGGCGCGCGGTGGCGGGAGGGCTCGTGGGGTGTTCTTTCAAACCTAAACAGCTCTGGTCCTTAGGGTGGAGGGGGTGGCGTTTTTGAAAGGGTCCTGCCAGTCAATTAAAAAGGAACCGTTGGCCACTCAAAACATAATAATTACTTCTGTGAATGCTGCTAAATTAAATAAGTGTTATCCGCATGATTTTTTTTTTTTTTTTTTTTGCATCAAGACTTTGGTTTCTTTTGAAAGAAAACATTTTGTTACTTCTAGAGCAGATCTGTTTACCACCAGCGTGAGGAACCCGAAGTCATTTTTCTTGTACTTAAAAGTTCCTGTCTCCGTGGAGACTTTTGTTCGCCAGCCAGTCAGGCAGGCGGAGGGGAGGGCCCGCCGCAGAGGGCCAGAGTGACCGCAGCCGCCGGGTCACTTTCACAGGTTTTCAAAGCAGCGCAAAAGGAGGGACTTAGGCGGAAGCATCTCGATCAGAGGTCAGTGGCCTGAGCCAGAGCCGCGTCCCTCTGTTCCTCACCCTTTGACTGTTTAAATAATGATGAGATTCACATGCATAAAAAATTTAGGCGTTTTAAAGTGAGCAATTCAATGACACTTAGCACATTCACGACGTTGTGCAACCGCCACCTCGGTCGGGTTCCAGAACATTCTTCCCAGGAGGAGCCCCTACGCCGCCACCGGGTCCCTCCCTCGCCCCGCCCCCGGCCCCGCCCCCAGCAATCACCAGTATGAATTGCGTCCCTGGGGCTTCGCCTGGTCTGGACATTCCACATAAATGGAGTCATGCAGGGCTGCTCTGTCCGCTGCTCTCACTCATTCAGCTGCTCCCAGGCGCAGCCACGTGGCCGCGAGCACCCTCTTCCTGGCTGAGTAATACTCCACTGTGCTAGGGACCTCCACCTGCTGATGACACATGGCTGTCCCAGCTTTGGGCGGTTGTAGATAATGTGCTGTGAACATTCATCTGTCTTTTTAATTCTTTGGGTCGACTGTGTGACCCACCCCTTGCTGTCCCCAGCCCACTTTTTACCACCTCCTTTAGGCCTGAGGCCACCCTCTGGTGGATGTCCAGGTGTCACCATCTTGGTACCAACTGTCTCTCAGGACACCCCAAAGAGAGGCCATCCTAGATAGACAATCCAGGGACCCTCTACCTTCTGCTCAGTCCTGTTACTTGCAGCCCCGTGAGTCCCACGCTCATGACCCCAGCAGCCTGTGTCCTGGCATGAGGTCATCAGGAACTTTCAGGAACCTTTCCCAGGGCCCAGAGTAGCCCAGGCGTCAGGGCCAGTTTCACAGGAACCCAGATTCTGAGTCTTCCCGAGAACCTGGGCTGTGTCCCTGTGTCCTGATTTCCAAAGCTGCAGGCAGAAGCCCAATGGATGCTTCTGGAACGTGTATGTCACCATCAGCCCCGCGCTAGGTGCTCATGTGACAGCTTCCCCCACTGTCCCCAACCTTGTGGAGTGTAGGCGGCTCCTTTCCTCACCCTCCTAAAGCAAAACGGGCAAACGGGTCCTCAGGTCTCTGTGTGGGGCTGCGGGAGGGTGCGGGAGGGGGCTGAGCTGTGGGTCCAAACGCTGGTTCCTGAAGGAGCTGGCGGGTCCCCTTCCTGGACGCCTCTAACGGGCTGCTCGGCCCGGACCAGCAGAGGCGACGTCTCCTGGGCAGGGGCAGTGGCCGGGCCACTTCTGGGCCTCTTGAGGCACCCGGTTCCTATTGGGTCCCAGATCCAGGTGGCCCCTGAGCCTCGCCCGAGCCTGACACTGTATTGTCTCCTTCAGGTGACGGCGACATTGTAAATAATATGTACGAGCCGGACCCGGACCTGCTGGCTGGCGAGAGCGCCGAGGACGAGACCGAGGACAGCATCATGTCCCCCATCCCCATGGGGCCAGCGTCCCCCTTCCCCACGAGCGAGGACTTCACACCCAAGGAGGGCTCGCCTTACGAGGCGCCCGTCTACATTCCCGAGGACATTCCGATCCCACCGGACTTCGAGCTCCGGGAGTCCTCCATCCCGGGGGCCGGCCTGGGGGTCTGGGCTAAGAGGAGGATGGAGCCCGGGGAGCGGTTTGGCCCCTACATGGTGGCGCCCCGGGCCACGCTGAAGGAGGCCGACTTCGGATGGGAGGTGAGCATTCCCGTGTTAGCGTGATGGATCGTGCTGTCTGTCTTGTGTCCCATCTATTTATAAAGCCGGCTGAGCAGCCACTGCCCCAGGCGAGAGGCTTGGTGGGTCGGAGAGAGCGTTCGAATGTCACATTTCCCAGGCTTATTTTATCCTGCAGCTCGCATGACGCGACTCAGAAAGCATCGGAGGTCCTCGCGGATGCCGCTGGCCCCGTGGGCTGTGCCCGTTCTCTTCCCGGAAATGTGTCTTTAATGAGCTCACGTCTTAAAACAGCCTGGCTTCCCGTCTGGCTCGTAGGGGCTGAGGCCGCGGGCTTGGCGGGGGCCTGTGCTGGGGGGTGGGGTG